AAGGAGGAACAATTTTATTTTCAAAACTAGCTCATCCTGACCCTTGGCATTTTGTTTAGATTGTTCTTTGATTTCTCTTTTATGGCTCATCTCCCTCCGCACAACTTATGGCATGTGACTGCCAGTCGTGAATGTTTTTCTCAGCTGGAAACCCACCCTTAGTTACTCTACTTTGTTACGCTGGGGCTTTAGTTCTCCTTTTCTAGGTGACAGAATTAGTGGGGTAGAAGCCACTTGCTGCAGTTGCTGCCCCTAGACACCTCAGAATTTTCATTTACTCCTTTTCATAGTATCCTCTCCTAGTTCTTTCATTCTTTTAAAATTTCCCAGTTTAAATTACTGATGTGGTTTCTGTACCTTGAGTGCACCCTCACAAAAGAAACATTTGGTACTTTGAAACCCTGGAAAACTTTGTCCCAAGCCCTAACCCTAGATGAGACATATCCCCCTTGGAAATACTGGAAAGGTGTTCAGAACTGGTGTTAAGTGTGAGTTATCCAAGGGGACTTAAGAGAGATTAAGATCTGGTGCAAGATACCCATTTACAGGTCCATTTGCTGGACTGTATTTTGAAAAACAGTTGAGACTCATGTCTTTCAGTTAAACTGGCTATGGGGACTTATCAAGGAGGTAAAAGTGCTATTAGATGCCTTTTTTAGATAAACTGTGTATTTTGAGAAGTGAAATGTGTGCCTTGGTTAACATCAGTAATGACTGCACCTTTAGATAGGGTAGGATAGGGGTAAGTGTGGGTATGGATTTGTCTACGCTGCACACAATGCTTTTGCAAAATCTGCCATCTGTGGACTTAACAGAAAGCCTGTATACCCCCAAGGCACTCAGACAGCATTGCTTCAGATCCAGGAATCCTCTCAACGAAAGTACTGCAGTGAGCCCACGCTTATGGAATTCTCTGGTCTTACCATGCTCCGACCATATTGAAGATGCTTGCTGGATAGAAGATTGAGTTATAATGCCAGCTAGGTGTCAATACCTTGCACAGCTGGGGAAAGGTTCTCCAGATATGCGCTGAGTCAGCATCCAATTAAGTGGTGTTATCTCCCATAGCCAGAATTAAAGGGCCTGAAAATCAAGGGATGGGAATGGGAGTAACAGTGCTCACTACTGCCCAGAGGGACCTGTTGGCAATATTTTTGCTTCCTGTTCCTGAAACCTGATGCTCCCCTGGCCTAGAGTTTCAGTCTCAGAAGGAGGAATGCTTCCACTAGGAGACACAATAATGATCCCACTGACTTGGAAGTTAAGACTGCCCCCCAGCCACCTTGAGCTCCTCATATCTCTGTATCAGCAGGGAAAGAACACAGTTACTGTGCTGGCTGGTGTGACTGATCCTGACTACCATGTGAAACTTGGACTATACCCCACCACAGAGGTCAGGAAAGTATGTCTGTGATACAGGAGATCCCTTAGGGCTTCTTTTATTAATAGTTTCCTGTGATTAAGATCAATGAAAAACTGCAACAGCCCAATCCAGGCAAGACTGCTAATGGCCCAGACACTTCAGGAATGAAAATCTGGGTCATTCTACCAGGTGAAAAAGCACAACTACTGAATTGCTTGCTGGGGGCAGAGGGAATACAGAATAGGTACTGAAAGACAGTGAGTGTAGCTTTAAATATCAGTTAATACTCCATGACCAGTTACAGAAATGATATTCATGAGTATTTCCTCCTTATTTTCCTATGTTTGTATTTGTGTGTGTATGTCTGGTAAATAATTTATTCCCTCATTCTCTTATCATGTAACATAAGATGTATTGACTTTTATTACATTACTTATAAGTATTGCTAATTTTACATCAAGTATATAAGTTATGGGAATCAAGGAGTAAACTCAAGGACATGGTTGTATGCAGCATAGATATATCATGTTCCATGGAATTATGACCTTTTTATTTGGAGATTAAGTATAATTATGGGCAATGCATTTGGTAGGCAAAATGACAAGGGATCTACTTATAATGGTTAATTTTCTGTCAATATGAGTGTGCCATAGGGGACCTAGACATTTGGTCAAACGTTATCCTCGGTGTTTCTTCTAGGGTGTTTCTGAATGAGATTAACATTTGAATTGATAGACTGATTAAATCAGACCCCCTACCCAATGTGGGTGGGCCTCATCCAATCAACTGAAAACACTTGAATAGAAAAAAATGTCTGCATAGAAAGGAAAACCTCTCCTGGCTGAACGTTGAGCTCGGACTTCTGCTCAAAGACTGGAACTTACACCATCGTCTCTCCTAGTTCTCAGGCCTTCAGACCTGGGCCCGAACTCCACCACTGAGCTTGCCAACTGCAGATCTTAGAAATTTTCAGCCTCCATATTTGCATGAGCAATTCCTTATTATATACATATGTACCTGACCCTATTGGTTCTGTTTATGTGGAGAACTGTTACACACTCCACAACAAAGTCATGAGTTTTTCTCAAAAATTGCTTTGTACATTTACGTCTATTGATCTTTTGGTTACAACATAGGGACCAAATGTTATTACTTTTTTTCTAACAGTATTTGGTCCAACAACATTTACTGAGAAATTGAAGTGGCTCTGCAGGGTCACCTTGGCCCTTCACCAGCCACGCACCTGTGCAGCAGGCTCTGCCTTGCCTCTGTGCCATCTGTTGTCTTCCATCAGTGCCACAAGGTCTTACTCACTGGAGCTCTGTAAAATATTTTCACATCCTGTAGAGACATCCTCTCACCTTGTTTTTTTTTCAGTAGCATGTTGGATACATGGACCTTTGCATTTCTATATTCATTTAGATTTGGTTTTGCATTTACGCAACACACCTGAAAAATTTTTATTGAAAATATAATGGATTCATGTATCACTGTAGGCAGAAATGGCATCTTTACAATGTTTCCAATTCATGAACATGACCTATCTCTATGTTTTTCAAAATTTCTGTAAACTGTAGTTTTGGGAGTTGTACACAAGTCATTATATTTAGTGCTAGACACAGAGTACTTTTTATGCTATCCTATTTTAAAATTTCACTTTGCTCTTTGTTGCTGCCTATTTCCAGCATGCCTGCAACTAGCTGAGTGTTTTCTGAAGGAGCAAAGATGGCACTGATCCCTGACCCAGGCTTAAATGTACCCAATAATAGCATGAGCTGAGCTTGGGTGTGGTTCGTGTTGCCAACTTGTTATCACTGTCTGTTGAACACACTGAAATTCATGACTGACCAGGTTCTCATCCAGTGTTGGTGCAAACACGGGAGGGCTCTTCTCTTGGACCAGTCTGCAACGAGAGCATGACTGTTACCAGCAGCGGTAAGAAGCTGTGGGTAAAACTGCAGTATTTCCAGTCTCTTGCCTGGCCTTCATTCATTTCCGTATCAATAGGTGTTTCCAAAGGGTGGAGAGAAGTAGTCCATCTCCGTATCAATATATAATTACAAGGGGGAGTGAGGGCGTATCTGGACCAGAGAGGCTTTGTGCTGCGAGAGACACGGGCAGGAAGTGGACTGCTTGTAGGCAATAAATGGTTTCTCCCAGTTTCTCCCTTTGATTTTGGTTGCAAAGATATTTTGACCCAGGCTGGGAAAACATTTCCCCCCCTGGAGTTACAGAAGCTGTCTACCTTCCATTTGGGGCTCCCTGTTTCTGAGGTGTTCTGTGCCAGCTCATGTGACAAAGTGCAGCCTGGCACAACCCTGCAGAGAGGAAAGCTGGAACCTGTGCCTAGCTTCTCCCAAGCAGCTGGGAGGCAGCTTTTGCCTGATAATCTTATCTTTACCTAGTACATGTCCTTACTTTAACGTTAATTGTATTTTATCACTTTCCTGCAACAAACTTCAGATTCCTAAGCATTGTCATTTGTGTCCTGTGCCCTGGTATACGCACATACATTTGATTTTTAATGTTGATCTGTACTAAGCAAACTTTTACTTTTAGCCATTCTGTAATTTACCTGTAGATTCTTTCCCACTTCTAAAATACTTAATAATAAATTATCATGCCCTCATTTGTTTCACTGTCTAGAACTTCCAGTACTGGTGAATAGTATTTGAGTTTACCTGAAATGCTTTAAACATTTCACCAATAAGTATAAAGGAAGCTACCACCTATTCCTAGCTTTTTATACATTCAATTCATAAATGTATTGAATTTTGTCAGAGGCCTTTTATTCATCATGTGAAGTCATTGTTCTTTTAAAATTGTGAAACTAAAAAATTAGTTCTAATCATGGGCTTGGCTGAACTGCAGTTTTAAAATGTGGTGTTTCCACCATCACTCAGGTGAATATAGTCTAATTTTCATGAGATGCATGAGCTATTTTGATAGGGTATTGCCAGTTCACTTATAACACATGTATGATCAACTCCATCTCATAGCTAGAAAACTGAGAGGCTGAGTTTGAGGGTTGGTACCTAAGGTCTCTGACTGAAGAATTTCCCACTATGTCATGTTCTTCCACTTTTCCTTGGAAACAGTGCTCTTCGGTTGGGGGGTCCTATTTGGGTCTCTCTCCAACCCCACCATATCACTCTCCTCCCTGGATGTGGGATCAAGAGAAGGAATCTTTTGCACTTACTGTATTTTGACCCAGGAGCACACACTTTGACTCTCACTGTTGCCCTTAACTGGGCCGATGCATTTCAGTGGACATGAAACATGCCTCACAAGCATACAGTAGCCCTCGATGAGTGACTCCCAGCACACTGAGGATTTATAACATACTGTGATCCTGTAACAAGTGTCTGTTATGTATTTTGTGCTTATAATAGCCTAAACTACACTTAGCCTCCAATCACATTACTTTTTTCTCAGCTAATGAGCAGGGACTGTGAGCAGGGAAATGACTGTGTGAGGGTCCCAGCACCTTGGTCCTCACTGCTGGTATTCTCTGTAGTCCAGGCCTGAGTAAGGAATTGAAGAAACAATCACAGGGTGGGCTTGAAGAACCCCTGAGCCTATTGCGAGGGTCTCAGACCTGCATCCTTCTGCTTGGGACCCAGAATAGCAATGTTAAGCCCTAGGGATGAGCAGACCAGAGACCATGAGGTTCGGGAAGCATTCACTGAATGCCTGCAGAGGGACTCTGGATGAGGTCAAGAGGTAGTGTGGACAAGGCCTCACCCAGTCTCAGGGGCCAGAGGTCTTGAGCCAGGCAAACCCCAACCCCCAGCACAGACTCAGTTGAGGCCATTATACTGAAATAATGCCTTTATTTCCTAAAGTCCATGGAATAAGCTGTAGGCAGGTAGGTCCTCCTAGGAGGGCAGAGAACCCTGCTTGGTATGCAGCTCTGTGTTTTTCTCCTCACTGACTCCAAGAGGCTTGGGATTGGCCTGTGGGAGGTCAAAGTCTGAGGTGGGAGTCTCCACACGTCCCTGAGTCCACATCCTCCCTGGGGTCTCTGCTCTTTCCAACCCTGCAACTTTCGGCATCTGCACCTTTGCCAAAAACCATCCTTTGTGGACTCTGCAGAACCCCTCCTTGCCCTCCCACCCCCAGCTACTTTCATGAGCTGTCTCTGCTCCCTACTCCAGGACTCACAGCTTCTCCTGGGCCAGACCTTTCCTCATGTGCGCTCTGGGCTTGAGCAGGGACCTGCAACCCAAGCTTTTCCACCTCCTCCTTGAGCCTGGACAGAAAGGGATGGGGAAGAAGGTGGGAAGGGGAAAAGGGAAGGATAAGAGGGTGTGAAGAGACCAGAGACAGAGGCTGGGAGTGGAGCAGAGATTCCCTTCAGCTGCCCTGCTGAGACCTGGGGAGGGGCCCACGCACCTCTGCTTCTTCTGCTGCAGCTGCTGGCATTTCTGCTGCAGCTGTTTATGGAGCTGGGCAGCAGCCTCCAGGAGGTCCTGGGCCTTCTTGTTCTCCTCCTCAAACAGATGCCTAGGGGTGGGCCGTCAGCACTGGCAGCTCCCTCCCTCTGCCCCAACCACCCTCCGCCTTACACTGCAGCTGCTGCCTCCTGGCTTCGGAGAAAGAGCCCCTCCCTGATGGCTGAGCAGCCCTTGGCCCCAAACTGGGAGCACAGACGATGCTTCACATCCTCCAGCTTTGCCTCTACCAGCTTCTCTGTAGCAGGAAGGGAGAGATGAGCAGGGCAGGGCACCACAGGGCAGATCAGGGCCTCCCCATTCTCCATGCCTCACCTTCCTTGAGCAACTGTTCCTTGCTGCTGTCCAGGGCACCAATCTCCTGGGCCAACTGCTCTGGCCTCTGGTGGGATAGAAAGGAAACCTATCTACATCTCCTGCCCTCCTTGCACACACCTCAGAGGAGCCTCCATGGATCTAGTCTTTACTTAGCATGCCTTGCTTCCTGATACTCTGGCCATCAGTGCCCATCAGACACGGTCCAGCCTTAGGGCGTTTGCAGTGGCCATTCTCTCTCCCTGGAACTGTTTCAGCCCAGACACCTGCAATAGTGTGCTGGAGAGGCTCATGAGGTGGTTAATGTTCAGAGATTTTGCAAGCTTTGAAATCAGCTTTGGTCAACTATTTATTACATGGCATTCTGTAAACGTAACAGATTGAGGCTGTTCTCTGCATAATCAGTTACCTGCCCAGCACTGTGGCTCCTCCCCCCTCTGTTCCAGCCCAACATTTCTATTTTCTTATTTGGTGCCTGGGATCTCCAGGTAGCAAACATTGGTTTGGTTCCTCACTGTGTGCCCTGTGCCTGTGATGGCCCCAAATACATCCATGGGGTCTCCTCGATAGATGACCCCTCCTTTGTTCATCAGAGTCCCTCCTGACCACTGAAGGGCCCTGGGAGGGCATCAGAGATGGAGATGGATGCGCAGGACCAGTGAAGAGGACAACATTGAGTGGTTAGTGAAAGTGGTAATGAGGGACTTGGACTGAGGTCAATTTTGATCTATAGCTACCAGGACTTGCTCAGAACCTGGTGTGGCAGATGAGAGGAAGGAGGCCGGAGGATGACCCTGAGTTTTGGGCCTGCTGCTGCCAGGCTAAATACGGCAGATGGGAAGAGTGGCTTTGAGTGACTCACGTGAAATTCCCAGAGGTCCTTGTGCTGGCCCATCAGATCCTCCAGCTGTTCCTCAAAATCCAACCTAGAGGCACCACACAAGATGTGGTGCTGTGGTTTGAGACAGCCCTCCCAGCCTGGCCCAGGCTAGGGGGTCTTCACCACAGATCTGGGTTGGGGTTCGGGTGCTGCCCATGCTCTTTGCTCCAATGGTAGCACCTTTGCCACCTTGACCCTCTAGCCTCAGCTCAGCCAGCTTTCTTCTACTCCCCATCTTTGATATCAACCCCACCTACAACCCATCCCACTCCCAACCAGGCCCTGGGCACCGGGCTTTACCTCAGTTGCCTCTGTTTCTTCTTCTCTTCCTCAATCTGGGAATTCAGGGCAGAAATGCGCTCCTTGCACTCCTGCAGCATGGTCTGCCTCCTGGAAAGAGGCAAGGCAGTGAATGATCAGCCATGTTCTTTGCGTGTCTTCCCAGAAGGATGCTGGGGTGGGGCTTTGGTCTCCTCCTCAGGTCTGTTCTAGCCTTCTAGATTGAGGTCCTTCTATAACTTCACCAGGTGGGACATGAACACATACCTGATGGAAATATCCCTGACAAGACTAGGACATCAACATGGCCATGGTCAAATGCACGAGCGCACAGACACATTCTCATTTAAATTTCCCAAACAGCTCCAATCTTGGTATGCCAGGTCTTGGGGCCTCTGATTACAGAAGGAGCTAAATAAGGACGAGGTGGAGAGATCAATGCACAAGTAGGATAATGGATGAAAGGAAAAAGGCTGGGTGGAAAGGTGGTCAGCTCGATGCCTAAACGAAGGGACAGGTGAGTGAACAGATGGCCAAGGAGCCTGTGGGGAGATTAAAGGCATAGAATAAAACCATCTTAAGGAACTGAATTGATACTCTAGCAACTGGAGGAGTATCCTGGGGAATGAGAGAGCGCCCTTAACCCTGGGGCTACTGCTGGAGCCGGGGCGGGAAGACACTCACTGGGTCTCTCCCTTTTAAAGAGGAGAAGCTGAGAGCTGTGGACCTGACTGACCTCCCCCATTTTGGCAGAGAAAGCACTTACCTCTGTGCCTGACTCTCCTTCTCCTGGCAATGGAGCCGCAGGATCCTTAGGGTCTCTGCAGGGAGAGGAACCAAGGGTCCTATGAGAGCCCTTCAAGGCATAAGGTTTGGGAGGAGGTATTAGGGCCAGATCATGTGGGGTCTTGTGGACATGTGATGGGACTTTGTCATTTACTGTAAGTCTGGTTAGGGTCATAGGAGGGATGCATGTGGACTCAGGTTTCAATAGGCTTCGGCTGCTATGGAGAGTGGCCTTCTGCAAGGCGGCAGAGGCAAAAGCCTGCAAATGGAATAGCTGCAATTACCTTGCTTTTTGCTCAAGATTTCTTTCAGGCGTACTTTCTCTCCACTCACTGGAAAACACAGTAACACATTCAGACATCAGGGACCACCCACTACCCCCTCAGTGACTGGACTTGCCTACAGTCACATTGGTGGTTTGCCATAGCCCTATCCCCAACCCCAAATGTGGACCCTTCTGGGTGAGTCCCCTTCCAGCTTGTGCCCACACCCCCTGCAAGCACCCAAGGCCTTGAGGTTGATAAAGGGTGACTGTGAGGACCCTATGGAATGCCAGTGACTTTATACCAAGGGGAAAGAAAAATACATCACATGAATTGGAATGAAGGCTCTGAAGAAACACATCAAGCTGGAAGGGGCACAGGACCAGGTGAGGGCAGGGTGCTGTCTTTAGACAGGATGAGTGGATAAGGCCTTTCTGATTAGGGAACATATGAGCTGAGAGCTGAATGATGGGAAGCAGTAGGAGCTTGTATTATTTGGGGGGAATGGCTTAGCAAAAGCCCTGAGGTGGGAGTATGCTTGGAGGGTGTTTTGGGAACACTCCTACCCACAGAGTAGGAGAGGAGGAGACTGGTAGGACTTGAGGCCAGAGATGGGGCAGCAGCAGCCCTTGGCCACATCAAGGATGCCTAGTATCTGGAATGTTAGGTTTAGGGAGGCATGACACTGTGGGGACCTCTGGGTGACACCAGACATATTTACATGAGTCGAGTTCTTTGTGTAGGGCCTCCCAGACAGTCCGGGCCTCTCCCAGATCCTCACTGGCTTTCTTTTTTGCTGTGTCAAAGAGCAGAATAAATGTTTAAGTGCAGCCTCCAGCAGCACTTTTCTTTGTATTTCACTGGGGTTTCACATTTGTCTTTAAGCAAACCTAGAGGGTCTCAGATTTTACAGAGCAGGAAAGAAAGCTTCAAGAACCACAGCCTTCTTCTGGCAGCAGGGTCATGTTACTGGACATGCGACTATAGCAGCTGCATTTAGAAGGCTCTTGGTTTAAATGCTGCCTTGAAATATCAGTACTGTTTTAACAAGGGGCACTGCAAACCATGGAACTGGCGCTAGGTGACAAGCCAAGGTCCTTGAGCTCACCTTGTTGAACCTCGTTAATCCGGTTAATCAGGACTTCAACCCTGGGCTCTAGGCTTCCCGCTGCAGGGAGGAAAGGAGGTTGAGTGGAGATGACAGGGCAGGCAGAGGTGGGTGGGTGGGGCCCTCCAGGGTAGGGGACACAAGGAACAGATAAATATCAAGTCAGGTTCTGTTAACTGCAGAAAGGGGAGTAGAATTTGCTTCTTCAGATATGGGCCTCCCGAGTGTCCAAAGTCAAGTAAGAGGGGCATCCCTGAAACTCCCTGGGGGTGTGGGTAGGAGGTAGTCAGTGCAGAAGTCTGCCCTGAAGTGTAAATATGGCTGTAAGGAGCCTGGTGAGCAAACAGAAAGTAGCAGAGGTAAGGTAGAAGGAAGGAAGGTTAAGGGGAACCTGGATTAAATGAGTGCAGTGGGTGCCAAATGGGTGGCTAGAAAGGGGGTTACTACTGGGTTTTGGGAAAATGTTTTGCCTCTGTCATATTCCCCTTTAATTTTGAATTATGGGGTCATATTATTTACATCAAAGAATTACGTTTTAAAAATAAGACAGCAAATGAGTAAATTTCCCAAGGTTGTGAACGTTAGGCCTAGAACTGAATCCACTTCTGCCTGATCCCAAACCTCAGTTAAAGAGGAAACATGTGACCTTTCTGCAACTTTTTCACCATTTCCATCAAGTCTTCAATTTTCTGTGATGACTTGGCCTGTCCTGTGAAGACAAAAACAAGCATTTCAGAATCCTGTAGGAGAGGCCCAAGAAAGGATCTGACAACTTTGGGCTGGCACCGAGGTGGGCTGAGGGCAGGTCTCCTCAGTGGTGCCCCTGCTCCTTGTTTTGAGGTAGACACTGCATGAGAGATGAAGCAGGCCCCTAATGGTCAGCTTTTCCTAAAGGATAAAAGGACACCACAGATGCCCTCTCAAAAAAAAAAAAAAAAAAAAAAGGGACACCACAGGCTTCCTTTTAATAAAAACTGAGAGCAAGGGAAGGAGTGCACACTCTCCCTGCTGATATCGTTCAGGCTGGGTCAAAGCTCCTGGTGTAATAATGAAAGCAAAAAAGGAGATGTATGAAAACTGGAAGCAAGGAGTCATAAATCACTGTAACTGGTGGACAGCATAATCCGCTAGAGTCCTAGAGAATCTCATAAAAAAACCCAAAAGGCATAAAAGGAAAACTTAATAAGATACCTTGTTTTATATAAAGACAAATAGCTTTTCTACATACAACCAATTGTACTCTGAAGCCTCCCAGTGAAATGTTTCATATTAACTTGTTTATAATCAATATAGGCATTTATCTTTAATCCCCAATGAATTAGAGGATCTAAGCAATTATTTTTAATGGAACTAATGTAACAAAGATAACCAGACATTATGATCCACTTGATATAAAAATACAACATAGGACTTTTGTCAAAAAAAAATGACACTAATACTTATTAAGCCTCTTAATATACATACAGAAAATAAAGGGATAGAGGAACATGTTAAGTGGCATATAGGGATGCACTTAGCAACACCCAGATTGGGAAACTTCACAGGAAAAACGGCCCAGTTTTCTTTAAAAAAGAAATTTCTGGGGAAAAGGGAGAAAGGAAACACTTATATAATAAAAGGTATTAAAGATTATGTCAACCAGTCTCAATAAATGGACTGTACCTGGGTCTTGATTAAAACAAACATTTAAAAAATAATGACACAATCAGAAAAATTTGAGTATTGAAGAGATAATTTGAAGACAGAAAGGAAGTGTTATAGCTATTATTCACATATAACAATGCTTTGTGGCTAATTTTCTGCAGTTATCTTTTGGATATATGTTACAGATATACATGGATGTATTTATGGATGATATGCTATGATGCCCAGGATGCTTCAAAATGAAAGAACAGAGTGGGTAGGGAGTGGGTGAGGACAGAAAGGAAACAAGATTGGCTAAAAGCTGGTAATTGTTAAAGCTGAAAGATGGGTTCATGGGGTATGACTTGTTCTTGACTTTTATGTAAGCTTACATTTTTCCATAATAAAATTTAAAAAAAAGCAACCACTCAATTAATATAGAGAAGGTGAAAATCCTTTTTACAAAAGAGTAAAGAAAGGGAGAGTACAGTTAACCAAATTACACAAATGGCCAACAAATATTTGAAAAGATGTACAACTTCACTTATAATTAAAGATGTGAAAAATAACATATTGTACCTAGCCAGATGGTAAAGATTAGTGACTCTGATAATGCCCACTGTAAGGATGTGGTAAAATAGGCACATATATACACTGACAGACTATGGAAACTGAAGCAAACTTTTGGAGGGTAGTTTGGCTACATCAACATTTTGAAGATGTAATTTCAGTTTTAGGAATTTATCCATTATATACACTTGGTTAAACATGCAAAAGGCATACAAAATGACATTGAAACTATTTGTTATGTCAGTGGTGCCCATTAGTGGAGACATTATGATTCATCACCACAACAGAATACTGTGCAGCCATTGAAAAGGAGGTAGGTTGATACGTATTAACATGAGAAGTTACTAGATAGATTAAAAGGAAAAAAGTGCAAAAAGGTGGTGTAAAACAGAATCCCATATGGTTGTGAAAGGAGATGAATAATACACTGTCAGTCTGCAAATGTACGTATCCCATGTCTAGGCCATTTCTGACTGGACTCGCATACAAAGAAGTTCAACAGTAGTTATCTTTGGAGGGTAGGGCATGAAACGACAGAGAAGAGGATGTTTACTTCTCACCACATACACTTCTGCATATTTTTAAAAGTTAGTAAATTTCCTTGAGTGACCACAAAATTATTTTACAGTTGTTTGGGCAACCATTTTTCTGGGTATTACTGTTAATAGCCTGGGGAGTGAGCTGGCCTGTTTCTGTTCTTTACTGCATGCCTAGTGCTTTTCCTAAGACACAGAGTGAGAAAGCAGTAAATATCTGCTGGATGAGCCAACTGTTATTAATAAAACATCCAGGGTACAAAACAGCCTGTGCAGTATGAGCCCCCTCCTTTTTACTTAAAATAATTTCAAATTTACCTAGAAGTTACAGAAATAAGACACACAGCTACTATATGCACTTCTTCCTGATATCCCATTTGCTAACATTTCTGGACTTTGGGAATGCATTGCAGAATGCTTCATTGCCCCATAATACCCCAGTGTGAAGTTCTCAAGGGTAAGAACACTCTCCTATGTAGTAACAAATATAATGGAGAGATTAACAGTCATATGTCAGCATCTGATCCTCAAATGGCATTTAAAAAATCTCTCCTCCTGTTACATTTTAAAGCTCCAGCAAGTAGCAAATACACCTAGTAGAAAAAAACCATAACATTAAAAAAATTCCTTCACCTCTGCACTCCCCTCAAATCTAAACTCCTTTCCCTAAGCCCTTATTAGGAAAACAGCCTCCAGACATCTTTCTGTGCCACCTATACAGTGCTATAATTACAATTTTTCCATCTTACTTTCCTCCCATAAAAACATCTCTTTTGAAGATCATGCTGTATCAGGATAAATATATCTAGTAATTTAAAAGTTGATTTAGTCAACCTGAGTTTTTATCACATTTTATCTACTGTACAGTTATTTCCCAGTGTGCATGGGTACACCTGGATTTAGCCATATACTCCTCATGATGTTCTATGACTGTCTAGACCCTAGCAACTAGTCTGTCTGTACATCTACGTGTTTTGTGTGATCCCCCAGTAAGGTGACTGAAAAAGGAACAAAGAAATCTAAATTCTAAAAATCTTGTCAGAGGAGCTCTTGCAAAGCCTTTACTCACTAGCCTTCCTATCAACTCAGTATGGGAAGGCCTGTGTCTCCACAGTGTGACTAATACTAGAAGGCACCCTGCCCCATTTTTTAAAACAAGCTGAGAGACTGAAAATGGAAGCCTATTTATCCTTTAAATTTATTCCACTGTTGGTTGCTCCAGAGGGAATGGCTGTGTACCCCCTAGTTTCATATGTTGAAATCCTACTGCCTGACGGCATCACACTAAGAGGTGGGGCCTTTGGGAGGTGATTAAGTCAAGAGGGTGGAGCCTCACGAATGGGATTAGGGCCGTTGTGAGAGACCTCAGAGGCTCCCTTGCTCCTGCCATGTGAAGACAGCGAGAGGACCATCGTCTGGGAACCAGGGAGCTAGTCCTCCCCAAAACCTGAATCTGCTGGTGCTTCTTACTTGGGCTTTCAGCCTCCAGAACCGTGAGAGATAAAACTCTGTAGTTCATGAACCACCCGGCTGTGCTCTTTCTGATACAGTGGCCCAAACTAAGACTGGGTGAAGCTGATTGAACCTTCACCTACATATGCTGCCTCATATGAGGAAATGGAACCGGTGACACGAAAAGGCTTCTTTAGCACAGCGGGGGCACGGGTGCCTTATCAAGGGGATGTATACGCCCCTGTCCTGGGTCGCTCTGTCCTTGGCTTAGCGCTGTTTCCAGGGGCCACACCCTGCTCCAAACAAGTGCTCTTGCTGCACCTATTTCTTCAGTCAACCCTTTATTTTGTAAAAACAGTGCGGCACACCTCCTGTGTACCAAGTCTACACTGTAGGCAGGTCTGAAGGGAATCACAGACATGTGCTCATGACAGTTTTGAGGAGGGTGACAGACGGCCAACGGGAGCCGAGTCAATGGGGGGACGGGTGGGGGTGCCGCACTTCTTCCACTTTTGTGCGAGTCCAAGTATTCCCGTAAAATACCCAGGGGCACATTCAAATGGTGGATTTGGCTGATGGGGAGGGGTTTTTTTTCAGTTAATTTTTTTTACTAAGGTATTATTGATATACACTCTAATGAAGGTTTCACATGAAAAAAAAATGTGGTTACTACCTTCACCCATTATTATCGTGTCCCCCCATACCACACTGCAGTCACTGCCCATCAGTATAGTAAGATGCCACAGAGTCACTATTTGCGGCTGAAGGGGAGTTTTATATTTTTCTTCTCCATGCTGGGCTGTAATTTTTGAACTTGTAAAACTGAAACGAGTGGCCGTGTACACCCTTCCCCGGCGTGGTGGGAGCCGCAGCAGGTCAGTGTCAGGAAGAGAACAAATGGAATGTCGTGGGGACCCTCGGTCTGTACCCCCACGGTAAGCACTACTGCGGGGCAACAGGGAAACGGAGCCCTGCACCGGTTGCGAGGCGGGCGTGAGGGCTGTGTTCGCTGCCTCAGGAGGGCTGGGCCCAGGGGAGCGCTCCTTGGTGTAAGGACGCCTGTGGAGACTCTCGGGGCCCAGCCGCAAGGCCGCCCTGACCGCCTGAAGCTGCTCCGATTTTAAGGGGCCACCTGCGCGCGCTCCCAGCCCCACTCCATTCCGGCTCCCGACCGCGGTCCTCGCCGGTCCCCCCAGCACTACCTCCGGCCTTCCCAGCGGCGTCCAGGGCTCCAGCGGGCTCCGCGCTCGAGGGTACCGGCCGCCCTGCCATCTCCTCCCGGGGCGCGCGCCTCCGGCGTTGGGCGTCTCCGCTGGGATTGGCTTAAATCCGCGCCGGGGGCGGGGCGGCTACAAAACACGCCTGCGCAGTGCGCTCCGAGACGTATTCCTTCCACTGTGGGGAGCCCTGGTAACGGCTCTGGGCAAGCACTAACGCGCATGCTTAAAGCGGCTCCGAATCCAGGCTAGATAAGAGGAGGGCTACGTGCGGTCTCCCAGGTTTGCCATTGGCCAGTTGAGAGTCCGTGATGCGCGCATGTGTAGAGGCCTCCCAAGCGACCGCCCACTTTTTGCTGCTAAGAGTAGTTCCAAGTACAACAGTGCGGCGCAGTGAGGAATCTGAGGAATCCAGTCTGATACCTGGTCTCTGCAGTTGGTCCTGACCGCAGTGAGGAGCTGTCCGGTTCATCGACAACTCCGCTTAGGCATTCTGGAGCAATGCCAAGTGTGTTGGCTTCGCCTGACTAATCATATCAGCTCTTTTCAGCTGTACGCTGAGGAGAGGACCGGGGAAAGCAAGGTCCTTGTTCCTCCCAGCTTGATCCCTAGGCTGGCCCCGCCTCCCAGTTGACACGTCCCTGCTAGAGGCGTGGCCCAAGGGGATGGGTGGTGTCTGGGTCTGCAGGACAGGCAGGGGGCGCCCTGGCATTACTCAGGCAGCCTTGGTGGGCCATGGGGAAGTCGGCTCCTGCAGCAGGTAGTGGACAAGGGTGCCCTGCCCAAGGTTGCACTCTTTGTCACTGGGGGCCGATGAACGTGGTCACCAGCCCCTCCAAGGGTGATGTGATGACTCCGTCAAGGGCAAGGCTACAGGGTTGGGAAGGTCTGTTGCAACTGGGTGCAGATGGTGTAGGTCAAAGTTCCTGACCTCAGCCTGTGAAGCTGGTGGTTCACTGTGTAGGAAGCTAGTTCTTGTATGCTGACATCCCGTCGCGATGATGATAACCAACTGTAAATCTGGGGAAAGGAAATCCCGGGGCAAAATACCTCTAAAATCAAAATCAGTCAGTGGGAGAAATAAAGTTTAAAACCCGTTTATTGCTTACAAACTGCAGTCCGGGGCCATCTCTCTTTCCTGCTCCTGCAGAAAGAAAACCAGCCCTCCCCCTCACCTCTCAGGTTCCGATAAGCCCTAGTTGCCCAGGAATTACCCATTGATATGGAGATGAACTTTTACCCACCCCTGAGGAATGCCTCCTTATATACAGATGCACTAAAGCCAGGGGAGATACTCTGGATATACTACAATTTTACCCACACCAGCCTAAGGTGCAATTTTGATCACCACATATGCATAGCCCTGCACTAAGAGCTAACTCCAGTGTTTCTCACTCATAGCATGGAAATACTAAAAATAGGAACTAACAATTAGTGTTTCCTGTGCAACAGTTACTAGTCTTGCATGGTATGGGTTTATTTCCTTAAATCATTTCCCCAGCTTGACAATGCCCAACCCGACTGGACTCCCCTCATTCACTCTGCTCTAGTCACCAGCCTCGTTCCTTAAAACATATAGGCTCAAGCCCATCTCAAGACTTCAAAAGGCTGTTCCCTCTTCCAAGTGTACCCTTCCAAAGGACCAAAGCTTGAATTTTCACCTCAAGGCTTCTACAAATCCCTGCATCCTATGATATGGATAAGGTTATGAAAAAGTCACAGAATCAATGTTAGGATTAAAGGTCAAGGTAACCATCAGGAATAGGGTCAGGGAAAGGGTCAAGCCATCACCTTCAAAATCATCTTCAGCTGAAACCGAAGGAAGTTGTGTCCGGGAGCCAGTTAATGGAGGTTTTCAGACAAAGCACAGTAAACAAGGTTATGGTGGTCGTGCAGATTGAAGTCCAGGCTTCTCCCATTGATAAAAGTTTCTAAAGACTCAGTCATCCTATCCCCTCCACCCCCCTCACCCCACCCCGCACAAAGAGGGACACACCTTTACGGATGGAGATTTCCCTAATAATATAGATTTCCTACACAAAGGGCAACTTCTACTACTTTTTTTTTAGAGATTCTCCTGTCTTCCATTTAAAAAAGTTAGCCAACCGTAAATAATTCTTACACCAAAGATGCATATTTTGGGGCGGCATATTCTGCTCCCCTTCACGTGAATGTACCAAAGTTTGCTTATGCATTCATCTACTGAAGACATTCTGAATTCTTTAAGTTTTTAGCCATTATGAATAGAGCTGCTGTGCATAATTGCATGCTGGATTTTGCTGGGACATAGTTTTTCAAAACAGTTGTCCAAATATTGGAGATGTGATTGTTGAATCCTTACATTAGACTCGTTTTGAAAGAAACTGCCAAACTCTTCTTTCAGAGGGGCTGTATGTGCATCCCAGTAGAAATGAAGGAGTGTTCCTGGTGTTCCTCACCCACTTGCTGTTGGGGGACTAAGGTCTGGACCTGGGGCAAACCACTGGTGAGAAGCAGTTCAGCATCTGCTATGCTCACCTCTTCCCAGCCTCCATGCCCAGTGACTGACCTGAGAGGCTCAGCTTTGGGAGTTCTACAGTCCCAAACAGTTCTGGTTAGGAAGTAAGATTCCTAACCAGGGAGTTAAGAGGTAAGATTCCTAACATATTTTTGGTAATTAGGCAACAGCTGACCGTAGCTTAAGGCAGGGCGAGCTGTCCTAAATGGTATGTCTCCAATGCTTGAGGGTAACCACTGTTTTGGAGAAAAACAAGATCAATAAATTCCTTGTGTTGTTTATCTTGCAGAATATCTAGAGGACTGACTGTGAATGGTGAAATAACACCTCTCACCAAAGACATCGTGAGGCCACATGTGAAGCCTACCCTGCCCCCCTCTGCCCTTTGCCCCATTTCTGAAAGCCTTAAAAGACAGAATCCTAAGCCCTTGAGTGTGCCTCCTCTCCGAGGTTTCCTGCATTCCCCTTTCTTTGTGTACTTTTTGCCTTAAATAAAGCCCTCTCGCTACTCAACTTACTGTGTTTGGTCTCTGTGCTCCTCCAGTGGTAAGTATATTTGTTGCTTTGCTATTTCCTTCTATTTTCTAGACTTAAGCACAAGTCTTTACTCTGTCCTACTTCAGACAAGTATGGAGGGGCTACTGAGAGCTCTGATTTGGGCTTGCAAGTTCCCCTCAGTTGGGTGACACAGACAGGACTGCAGCTGTATGATCATGCTCTTTAGTAGCCTGCCCCCAAATTTCCTTCCTTTGCTTTGGGAAGTTCTCAGAACATGATCTCACTCCATCCAGTGTTCTGTGGCTTCCCCAAGTCCTGGGGTGATAGGAGCTTAGTTCCCATGCTGTGCAGATTCAAGCAGACACAATACCAGGTGACCCTGGCTTTAGGAGTTGGCAAGGGATCTGCCCCATGCCAAGAAGGAGTTCAATGAGCTTCCCTTCCCTCCCTCTGTTCTCCCTTGCTCTCCCCTGTCTGCAAAGCTGCTGCCATCCACTACTACTCCCACCTTAAGGAATTCCTTTCTTAACAACACTCAGCTGACCTGTTAGAGCATTATTTATTGTTCAGAGTCAAGAACCCTTCCCCGTCCTTCCCCGTCCAGGTTGATGTTTCATCTAGTGCTCAGGGAGAGATCTCCCCAGACCCAGCTGCCCAGCAACACTATGTTGTAATTCCCCAATGACAGGTGATGTTGAGCATATTTTTAATGCTTATTTGCTGTCTGCATATCTTTTTTGGTGAGGTGTCTGTTCATATATTTACCCATTTTTAAAGGGGATTTTTGTTTTAGATTTCTTTGTTATATTTTGAATACAAATCTTTTAATTTTATGTTTTGCAAATATTTTCTCCTAGTTTGTGGCTTGTGTTTTTGGTTCTCTGAACAAGACCTTTCACAGAGCAGAACATTTAAATTTTATAAAGTTCACTTTATTAACTCTTGTTTTTTTGCGTATAGGCTTTTGGTGTTGGATGTTACGACATCACCATACCCAAGGTCATGAAGATTTTCGTCTTCATTTCCTTGTAGAACTTGGCGCCAGCTTTTTAGATGTCCAGTTTCATCATTCAGCTAGATCGCCAGGAGGGGGCGCCGCCTCCTAAACTGTGAGCACACATCCTGCATTCACAGTGAAGGCCCGCAGGGGGCGCCAGTGTGCACCTCGCTGACCCGGGGGGCCCCTGCGCATTCAGTCCGCAGACTGGGCGACACGCCCAGCTGACAGGAGCCCTGGTCTCCTCAGCGCCCGTGGAGCAGATGCCGTGGAGGGAGAAGCTGAGACCTGAAGAGAAGCTTCCTGCATGCCAACAGCTGCTGCTCATCTTCGGAGGACGAGAAGGGTGGAGAATTGCATCTTCTGTGAGTCTGGGCATGGGGTGAGGCCGGTGAGTTAGGAGCTCAGGGTGAAGCGGGATCAGTCTGGGGTGCGGGGTGAGGTGGGGTGAGTGGTTAGGGGCACAAGGTGAGGCAGGGTCAGTCTGGGGCGTGGAGTGAGGCCCGTGCCTTGTGGGGCGTAAACCGCGCCCCAGCGCCGCCCCGAGGAGTCTCTGCGCCTCGCGCCCCGGGCCCTGGGCCGCAGATCAATCAGCTGCACTTGCTGGGTTGACGCCAGACTCCGGGCTTCTGGATATGCATGAATAAGTCTCTGAAATGGGACTGGAATTGAGGGAACTTTGTTTCTGAGAAGGAGTTTGCAAAACAGACAGCACAGCCTTGGGCTGAGAGCCAGGAATAAAGAAGAGGCTGTTTTTACTGAAAAAGTCCCGAGCTTAACAATAGGGTTTAGGTTTAGGTTTATGAGTAAGGGTTGGATGTTAAGGGTAGGGGTTAGGGTTGGGGTTGTTAGGCTTAGGAGTGATGGTCAGTGTTTTGAGTTAAGGCTTGGGGTTAGGGTATGGGTTAGGGTATGGATAAAGGTTAGGGTTAGATTTAACTGTAGTGTGAGGATATGGTTACAGTTTTAGTTAGGTTTAGGGTTAGGATTAGGTTAGGCTTACATTTAGGAGTGGGTAAATGTGAGGGTGAGGGGTTAGGGGTAGGATTTGGGTTAATGTGAGGTGTAGGGCGAGGATATGGTTACAGTTAGTGATAGGTTTAGGGTTTAGGGTGTAGGTTAGCATTACAGTTAGGTTTAGAATTACAGTTATGTGTGAGTGAGGGTGAAGCTGAGGGTTCAGGGTTAGGCATAGGGTAAGGGTTTATGGTTAGGCTTAAGGTTAGTGTTAGGTGTAGGGTGAGGTTAGAGTTTTGGTTGGAGTTAGGTTTAGGGTTCAGTGTTAGGGGTAGGGGTATGTTTAGGTTTAAGATCACCATTGGTTGTGAGTGAAGGTGAGGGTAAGGGTTAGGAGCCAGGATTAGGGCTATGTTTATGGTTAAGTATAGGGTGAGGATATAGTCATGACTAGAGTTAATGGGAAGGCTTAAATGTTGGTTTAGGTTCAGGGTTATAGTTAGGTGTGAGCAAAGCTGAGGGTGAGAGGGTAGGGATAGGGGTAAGGGCAGTTTAGTTGTAGGGTGCAGGTATAATCATGCTTAGAGGTAGGATTGGGTTTGGCTTATGGTTATAGTTACAGTGAGGTTGAGCGTGAGGGTTAGAGTTAGAAAAACTGCAACTGCTAATGCCAAAGCAGCTCAATTCACTGGGCTTCTAGTCCAGTCCTGTAGGAACAGAGATTCATTCAACAAGAAATATTTCCTTTCTGTGCATACCAGTGTCCCACGAGGAAATCATGTTCATAAAGTTGGGACTAACAAGAGAGCTCTGCACCTAAAGAGCAGCTCTACGGAACCAAATGATGAATCTGCTGCAGTCCTTGAGGATATGCAACCGGGGCTTGAAAAGAACATGGTTGTTTCTTTAGGTTCCTAGCATCCAGGTCAGGGTGAGAGTCCACAGTTAGGATTCAGGGTTAGGTTTTGTATTCAAGTTCAAGGATTCAGGTTGGGGTTCAGGAGTTTGGGCTCAGGGCTAGGGTTGGAGTTGGGATTCAGGTGTAAAGGCTTAGTTTTGGGTTCAGGGGTTAGGGTTCAGGTTCAGAGCTTTGGGGTTTCAGGTCCAGGGATTCAGGTTCATGGCCCAGGTTACAGGTATGGATGAAGGGTACAGTTATGGTTAGGTTTAGATTGTAGTTATGGTTTTGCTTTGGTTTGGTGAGGGATCAGGGTTACGTCTAGGGTTAAGTTTAGATTTAGGCTACCATTGAGGTGAGAGTGAGGGTGAGGGTGAGGGTAAGGGTGAGGGCCTATGGTTAGGGTTAGTCTTAGGTTTAGGGTTTGGTGTAGGATGAAGATATGGTGATGGTGAGAGTTAGAGATAGGGTTTAATGTTAGGGTTAGGGCTAAGTTGAGGTTTAAGGTTACGGTTATGTGTAGGTGAAGATGAAGGCAAAGGTTTAGGGGTGTGGGTTAGGGTTAGAGTAAGGAAGGAGTTACGGTTAGTATTAGAATTTTTTTTTGTTTAGGGTGAAGGTTAGCACTAGCATTAGATTTAGGTTTAGGATTATGGTTCCGTGTCAGTGAGGGTGAGGCTGAGGGTTAGGTGTAAGGTGTAGGGTTAGGGTTCAGGTTAGTGTTAGGTATAGGGTGAGGATATGGTTATGATAAGAGTTAGGTTTAATTTTCAATGTTTGGGTTATGGTTAAATTTAGGTTTAGAGTCATCGTTAGGTGTGAATGAAGGAGATGGTGAGAGGTCACAGTTACTGGCAACATTAGGATTACAGTTTCCTTTTGGTAAGTGTAGGGTGCAGATATAGTTATGGTGAGAGTTAAGGTTAGGTTTATGGTTCCATGTGAGTGAGGTGAGGCTGAATGTTAGGGGTCAGGCATAGGGTTAGGGTTTAGGATTAGGCTTTAGGTTAATAGAGTTAGCTGTAGGGTGAGGTTAGGGTTCTAGTTGGAGTTAGGTCTAGGGTTCAATATTGTGGTTAGGGTATGGTTTAGATTTAGGCTCATCATTATCTGTGAGTGAAGTTGAGGGGGCAGGGCATGGATATGTGAGGCTCACATAGGATCTGGTGGGTCTGCCTTTGAGAGAGAGGCTGTGAAGGTCCGTGGCCAGACCGTGGGGTGTTTGCAGTGCTGAGGCGTTTAGACAATTTTCTGGAGGTGGTAGGGAACCAGTGCAGGATTTTAAGTCAGCGTGTCTTACTTAGAACCGTCACGTTGGCAACAGTGTGAGGTTGCATGGAAGGAGACCAGCTGGTCAGCTGTTGTGGGGTCCCTAAGGAAGGTGAGTGCAGTGCTGGCCCTGGTGTCTGGCTCAGCTACTGGGTGCTGTGCATGAGATGAACAAATGTGGCCTGGGGGCAGAGTGTATGCTGTGCATGGCCATGACCAGGAGGCAGTGGCTCTGTAGCAGGGATCTCCTGGGAGACATG